AGTAGTAGCTAGGAGGGCAGAAGGTTACCTTCAGAGTGGGGTGGTTAACCTTGGGTGAGGTGGCTGCCTTCTGCCAAGGACCATTTTCAGAGGGAGACAGCTGAGGGCTGAGATCTGGACCACACACCACATCATGAATTTAGTATGTCTTTCCACTTGTTCATATCTTATCCTTTAGTAATATTCTATAGGTTTCATGTCCTTTAATAAGATTTTTTTAAGACTTTTTTATTTATTTTTGGCTGCATGGGATCTTAGTGGCAGCACGCGGGATTTTTGTTGAGGCATGTGGCATCTTTCCTTGCGGTGCACAGGCTTCTCTCTAGTTGTGGCGGGCAGTTTTCTCTTCTGTAGCTGTGGTGCATGGGCTCCAGGGTGGGTGAGCTCTGTAGTTTGTGGCACACAGGCTCTCTAGTTGAGGGTCAGGAGCTCAGTAGTTGTGGCACAAGCCCCAGGGCATGTGGGATCTTAGTACCCTGACCAGGGATCGAACCTGGGTCCCCTACATTGGAAGGCAGATTCTTTACCACTGGACCACCAGGGAAGTCCCCTTTAATAAGATTTTATAGGTCTCCCACCTATACAGTTCCTATACTTTTCTTAATAATTTATTCCTAAATATTTTATAGTTATTATCAATTGAATGTTTTTCTTGTTTTTCTTTATTTCTAGAGGCTTATTTTTAGTAAATGCTATTATTTTAAATATATTTTTCTTGTATTTATCACCTTAAATTTTCTCTTATTAATTGTAGTAGTTTTCAAGAAAGTCCTTTGGATTTTCTAGATTTACAATCATGGCATTAACTAAAGAGATAGTGTGTAATCTCTTTCTTTCCAATATTTATAACATTTCATTTTCTTGCCCTATTACATTTGCTAGAACTCTAAGCCAATGTGTAATAATAATAGAGTTAATGCCAATGTTGTCTAGTTCCTCATTAAGAAGAAAAAAGTTTTAGTACCTGGTGTATGTTGACTTATGATTATTTTATATATCATATCTTTTTCATAAATTGTGCCTTTGTTAGGTAGTGGTCCTCTTTATTTTGCTCAATGCCTGTCACCTTAAATCCTACCTTCTTTAATGTTACTGGCTACTCCTGCTCTCTTCTAGTTTGTGCTGGCCTGACCTCACTCTTTGCCAACTCCTTTATTTTCAGCCTTTTTCTTTTCTTGTGGTTTCAAGTGTCTTTCTTATAAATAGTACGTGGCAGGGTTTTGTTTTTCTAACCCAGTCTCTAGGTCTTTAAAGGGGGTTCAGGGTGTCCCTATTTAGTATGATAAATATGCTTGACTTTGCTCATTCCATAATTACTTTATTTTTTTACTTTGTGGTTTCATCTTTTTATTCAGTTGAGCTATTCGAAACTACCATTTTTATAGGTCAAAACAGTTGAATACTAGCAATTTCATACAGCTAACTTATAACTTTCCTTTTCCCTCTCTCTCTCTCTCTCTCTTTTTTTTTTTTTTTGGCCACACCTCGAAGCTTTCAGGATCTTAGTTCCCTGACCAGGGATTGAACCTGGGTCCCCAGCAGTGACAGCTCCATGTCCTAACCAGTGGACCATCAGGGAATTCCCTCTCTCTTTTAAGAAGATGCCATTCATTTAATTTTTCTTTGGTAATTTGGAAATTCTAGTACTTTTCCATTCCATTAGTGGCTACCTTCCCTCTCCAGGTATGAGGACTGTCCCTTGGCTGGGCATAGGTAGCAGATAATGTGCCTGTGTTAAGGGGGAGAGTTCGAGAACAGCTGGCTCTTCTTCCTTGGTAGATAACTTGTATTATCCATCTGGGAGCTTGTACAATGTCCTCTTTCTCCTTGAAGTTTAAGAATTTTACTATAGTCTTTCCCTTCCATACTGCCTGGGAATGTGCTCAATACCTCCCATACGCAAACACAGCATTTTCTTTATGTCGGGAACTCCTATTGTTTGCACATCAGGATTCCTGGATTTGGCCCCCAAATCTCTGGTCTGTTCCCTCATGCCTTTGTGCTCTGTGCATCTTTTCATTGAGCTCTGAGCTATTTCTTCCATTAGACCCAATCACAATCTTCATAATCTTCCACCATGCCAAAATTGTGCTTTCCTTGGGGTCTTTGCACTTGCTATGCTTTCTGCCAGGAATGATTTCTCTTAGATCTTTCCCTGATCAGTCATGCCTTTGGTTGATCTTAGCTCTGATGTCCACTTCTCAGATTCACCTTTCCTGCTGCCTTAGACATAAACACAATACTCTGTACATCAGCTTGGTTCCTTTCCACCACTGTATTCACTCTGCCCATAATTAGTTATTTGCTGTATTCATCCTTCACATGCTCCCCCATCCACTCCCTGCTGGATGGTAAGGACTCTGTAAATCATTTGAATTCTTGCTGTGTCCATTCTTGCCATGTACCCAGTATCTAGCCCCAGTAAGCCCTGGCTAAGCACTTATGGAAGGAATGGAAGAGTGAATTAAGACTGGGACTGCCCCCAGGGAGACCTTGCCCTGTCCAGTTTCCTCCCCACCCATGGGAGCACTGGAATGGGCGATTGGGTGGGCAGAAGAAGGGGCCATGCCTATTTGTGAAGGCCTGAATGACCGGTGCCTGTTGGGCTTTTATTCTGTAGCTACAGCAGCTACTGCAGGTCCTGAAGCCACAGACAGGGAACAGGAGCAGGAGCTGGGCCGGGTGTAATTCCACTGGGTGTGGAGGGCCTTCTTGGCCTGACCCAGGGCTAGCCTTGGTCTGGGGCACTCTCATCCTGCCACAACATCCCACTGCCCCATTTTATTTTTTATCACTTAATACCACATGGCATTCTTTTTATTTAGTCCAGTCAACAGGTATTTCTGGAGCTTACTTGGTGTTTGAGGTGGTCAGGATACATCCATGAGCAAAAGAGATTTCCACTTTAGACATGAGAGTGCACAGACTGTGACACATGAGAAACTTTAGGAGATGAGCAGTGCTTCTAGAGGTGAACAAAGGAGATGCAGGCAGAGAGGTAATGGGGAATAATGGAGCCCTTGCCAGCTCTGGCTTTTCTTTGGGCGAGTTGCTACTGCAGGGTTCCGAGCTGGGTATGAGAGGTCCTGACTCATGTATTCATAGGCTGATGTGTGGAGAACTGACTGAAGGTGGCAAGGGCAGCAGCAAAAGACTGGGATGTGGCTGTGACATTGTCCTGGGGAGAGATGGTGGTGGCTTGGACTAGGTGGAAGCCATGGACCTGGCAAGAAGTGGTCTCATTCTGGGTAGATGATGCAATGGAAGCAACGGGACTTCCTGATACATTGAATGTAAGTGGGAAAGAAAGTAGTCAAGACAAAGTCTGAGGTGTTTGGCCTGAACAGTAGGAAGGACTGAGCTGCCATCACTTGAGCTGGGGGAGTTGGGGTGGAGTAGGTTTGGGGGATGAGCTGGAGCTAGGGTGGCACAAGTTGAGTTTGAGGTGCCAAGAGGAAGTCAGAGTGCGGGTGCCTAGTCCATAGCTGGACATTGAGTCTGGCACTCAGAAAAGGTCTGACTGGACATACACCTTTGGGAGTGATAGACATGTAAGTGGAATTTGAAGCCATGACCCTGGGTAAGATTATGAGAGCAATAGTGTAGACAGAGAAAAGGTGAAGAGGAGGAACCAGTGAGGTCAGAGGAAGCCAGGAGGGCATGGGGCCCTGGAAGCCACACAGGGACTGTGCTTCCAAGAGAGGAGAGATCAGCTGGTCACAGGAAATCTTTCCTGCCTATCCTCCTAAGGGCAGGCTTTTTTTTTTTTTTCCTACTGTTTTTGTTCACTGCTGTATTTCCAGCACAGAGCGCAGATGCTCCATAAATAGTTGTTGAATGAATGAGTATATGCATGAATCCACACCTCTGCAAACAGCCAGCACACAGGGATTTTTTAAAAGAGCAGAGAACAGCTAGGAGGCTCTACCCACTCTCAGTAGCATCCCCATCCTCCCTTGCTTTTGCCAGCCACAATGATATTAACTCAGGTGGGAGACCTTCTGGCTAACACAGGGCCCAGAACAAACGAGCTTCAGACAAGCTCTGTAGTGTGGAGCTTGGTGGAACCTAGGTTGGACACTGGGTCACCCACCAGTCCACAAAGGACTATACAGCCACTCCTCTGTTCACCTCTCTATATCGAGTCATTTGTCCATCCATCTACATCCAGTCATCTGTCCACCTGTGCATACAACCGCCCTTTATCCACCGTCTACAGCCACTCTTTTGTCCATCTTTCCGTCCAGCCACATCCGGTCCTCTGTCCATCCATCTGCTAGGGTGACCAACTTCCCAGATTGCTGCAGACTGTCTCAATGTTAATATTGAAAGTCCTGCACTCCAGGAAACCGCTGGGACCCAGGAAAAATGGTACAGTTGGCTGACCCATCTGTACCCCTGGCATCCCGTATTGCACCCCTGGGCTCGAAGCCCACCTGTCCACCCAACCTGACTTCCTTGGCCACTCTCTCCCATCGAGGCAGACAAGACTCCACCTCTCTCGCTAACCCCGCCCCATGCACCGCCCCTTCCGGAAGCCACTACAACGAATCCGGGCGCCCTAGCAACAGCGCTTTTTGGGCCGCCCAGTCCGCGAGCTGGGCTCCCGGTGCGAGCCAATAGTGAGGGGCTCCGGGAGTGAGGCGCGGGGGGCGGGGCTCGCCGCAGCGGCCGCCATCTTGGTGGGAGAGAAACAATAGGACGGAAGCTCCGCGGGACCGGCTGAGGTAGCAGGTAACGCCCGGTCTGCTCGGCCTACCGCTCTGCCGCCCCAGGGACTTTGGAGGAGGGTTTCTCCGGGTCGTCGGGGAGCGAGGTCTCTGGTCATTAACGGTGTTCCCGGGTTTTTTGGGAGGGGCTCTCCCGGGATGATGGGAGTAGGAGAGATCTCTCAGGGTCCTTGTGGGGCCAGATTTCCCCGGGTCATTTGAGAGAGGCATTATTTCTTCAGGTTATTGGGGAGAGACGATTTCCCCTGGTTTTGACGGGCAGAATCTTACCTGGTCATTGCGGGGGGGGTGTCTCCCGGATATTTTGGTGGTGCGGGATCTCCCCCTCTCATTGAAGTCTCCAGTCATTGGAGAGGGTAAGATCTCCTGGGTCATTGAGGGGGTCTCCCCAGGACATTGGTGGCCACGATCTTCCGGGTTATTGACGGGGGTCTCCTTGAGTCTTTGGCTGGAGAAGTCAGCCCAACGCCTCAGGTACGGTTACCTGCGGCCGGCAGATGTGCAGCCATTTTGAGTGTTGAATGTCAGTTGGGCTTGTCAGCTGGTGTCTGGTGGGGGAGTCTGCACACCTAACCTTCTTATCCCAAAAAGTCCTAAAATGGATCCGGGGACGTCTTCTTAATAGTGATAAGCTTCACCATGGATGGAGCTTTCATTTCGTTCACGTTGGATTACAGACTGTTTTTTGTCTTTTGCGTCCTAATGATTTGTTTCATTTTTGGCTTTTATTCAGTTTCATATATTAAAGCCGAATTGCAGAAAAATGAGTCCAAATGTTGTGAAAAGAAAATGTAAAAACCAGTAAAATCTAGTGCTCTTAAATACCGGGGAAATAAAACTAATCACTGATTGGAATGAAGCATGTTGGTAACAAAATGTACGTAGAACAAGAATAAGATAAAATCATCTGAAAAAATAGTTTTAAGTACTGAAACTTCTAAAAAGTGGTCACAGAAATGTTGCAGATCACAAGTTTTATGATACTTTGTATAAAGCGCCATAATTACAGTAGTTTTGATGAATTCTAGTATTTAATTATTTGCTGTATTAGCATTTTTAGCAGGGTAACATTTTAAGTGAACTGAAATGCTTATTTACCTAGATTGCTGCTGTGGAGTTTGTGTAATTGCATCCTGTAATCTGGTGTTAAGTATTTAACGAGAAGTTTCAGGGCAGTATTGTTATTGTTTTAACTTTAACCACTACCAGAATTAGAAACTGAGCAAAATGAATACTTTATCATATTGATGTAATAGGCCAGTGAGTGGATCACTTAGTAACTTTTTCTGGAGGCAAACATCAGTTGAACGGTTAACTGTTACTCCAGCTGGTTGACCTGCTTTGTGACTTTAGAATAAAATTCTCAGGAATTGTTAGAAATCAGGTGGATGAGAGCTAGGACTGGAGTTGATACAATTGTAAAAACCAGTTTAGCAAATGTAATAGACTTCTTTTTGTTTCAAGGCTTCGCAGGTGACAGACAAGTACATGGTATACCAGCCCCATAGCTGTCTGAGCAGTGGAATGTGTGAGGAAGGCACAACTTCTGACTGATGAACCTTAACCAGTCTTCTTTGCAGAGGGGTGCAAGGGGTGCCAGAGCCTTCCGTAACACCTGAGGGAGATATCACCGGTATCTAGGCAACAGGGATGAGCCTCCCTGAGGCCAGCTTGCTGAGGTGAAAAATTTCCATTGTTTGGTTCATAAAGAGGATGCACTGGGGAAGAATTTTTCCTTTAAGTGACGTTGTTTTACCTAATGGGGTAATCACCTTAGACAAATTGAACACATTTTTGTGTAGTAGATGATTGCTTTCATGTGATTACATTTTAAAGCATGTTTTTGTTTTTTAAATTATATTTTTGCCTATTTGCATACCAAGTAATAAAAGTAACAAGTAATACTAGTGTTTTGTAATATATTCTGGTAGCAAGGAAGGGGCCTTTTCTCCCAAAATTGAATTTAGCATTTGCCTCAGAATTTGAACGAAAAGAGTCTCCTAAAATGATGGATACTTGGTTTGGGTTTGTCAACCATCCATCCATCACCAGCTTCTGCAGTTACCAACTCCTAGCCAATGTTGTTTCATTTACACTCTGCCTTCCTCCCCTCCCCTTAAAAAAAAAAAAAAAGCTGAATTTTTTTAGGAAACCTATCCCCAAAGTGTATATTATCCAAAAGTATTTCATTATACATTATTAGTGTATCTCTAAGACAAGGAGCTACCCATGGTTTTTACACCATTATTATGCCTAAAATACAACGATAATTCCTTAATTTTTTTTTTCAAATATTCAGTCATGGTCAAATGTCCCTGATTGTCTCATTATTTTTTTATAGTTGTTTGTTCAAACTGGGATCCAGATAAAGTCTGCATATGGCATTTGATTGAAGTGTCTCTTTTGTCTCTTAAATTTATATATGCTTACTCTGCTTTGTAATTTATCTGTTCACACTGTCATTTATCCTGTAGGGGTTCCCATATGCTGGCTTTTGCTCATCACACTGTGTGCTTGAGACCTTTTGACTCTGGTGGCTGGCTTTGAAGGAGTCACACCTGTATATCTTTTCAGTGAAGAAGTTGTGTTGGAACTGCCAAGGCTCATTCAAAAGTGAGCCCCAAACCTTGAACTCTGGGGGCTGTCAGGGACCTATAGGGCCACACAGTGCAAGACCCTCCTCTTCCCTCCGTGTCATGTGGTCCAGATTTTCCATGTGGAACAGAGAGGAGATTCTTACCCTTGGCCTCCAGGAGGATGAAGATGTTTTGCTCCTTGTCTCCTTACAGACCTCCTTCTCTCACACTGACCTTGTACCCTCTGCTCACAGGCTGTTCACAATTATGGGGGCCTCGACCCAGTGCTCTTCTTTCTTTGCACATTACTCTTGGGGTGCCTTCTGCCTTCCCTTTGTAGGTAATTCCCAAATCTGTTTTCAAGTTAAGTTCACTCAAGCTTCACTCCCACTGCTTCCAGCTGTCTGCTGTACATTTCTTCTTGATTGCTTGATTATCCTTTATATTTAAGTGTCTGCAGCTCAACTCACTATCTTCTCAGCTGTTTCTGACTTCATGAACAAAACATCCTTGTTCTGACTTGTGAAGACTCAGTATCTGACTCATCCCTCTAATTTGATTCCCTGAATCAGGGATTCTGAAGATAGGGTCCATAGTTGCCCACTCCACAAATTGTATGCAGAGTTCAGTGAGGCTGTGAATTTTCAGGAGAGTCCCACAGTTGTCTCAGATTCTCTAGGGGGTCTGTTGCTCCCTCAAGGGTTAAGGACAGTGTGCTACACTTCGCCATCTATCAAGTCCTGCTTCTTTACCTTCTCCCCCTCCTTCCTTGGTTCTTCTGTGTAGGCTGGGCAGGGCAGCTGGCTCTGTGGGTGCAGTGGAGAAGACAGGAGACTGTGTGCCCTGCCATGTATGCCACTGAGTAGGGGAGGTTACATTAAAGAGGTCCGAGACAGGTGTCTGGAGATAGCAGTCCTGTTGTCTTGGTGACCCTAGAACCTGAGGGCTGTCAGGACAATTTCCCACCACCCCCTGCCCAGCAGTTGAAGTCAGAGCCTTTCTGAAGCCAGGTTTTTCCTTGTCTCTGCCCGGTTAATTTTCCTAACATAAAATGTCGCCACCATACTCCAGAATCCAGTGGCTCACATACTTTATAGGTTGGGTCAGAGTGAAACAATGGGTGAGATCTTTTAAAATCTATGCTCCCAGCGATTCTACTTCTAGGACTTTTTCGTACAGAAATACTTCACAGGTGTGCAAAGACAGATACAAGGATGCTCACTGCATTATTGTGGTAAGAAAAAAGTTGGAAATAGTGTCAGTAGGGAAGTCGATATATACATTATGGTTTTGTGTGACTATTATACAGCCTTTAAAAAGACTCATATATAGACAAATGTAGCAAGATATCTAAGTCATATAGTTTAGTTGGGGGGGAAATGGCAAAACAGAGGACAGCTATTGAATGATTCTACTTATATGGGAAACTGGAGTACTCAAATTAGAGACAGCAAGTTGAATGGTGGTTACCAGGGGCTGGGGAGTAGGGAGAGTGGGATTTATTATTTAATGTGTATAGTTGCAGTTTGAGATGATGAAAAAGTTCTGGAGATAGTGGTGATTATTGCACAACAGTGTGAATGTACTTCATGCCACAGAACTGTATACCCCAAAATAGTTAAAATGGTAAATTTTATATTGTGAGTATTTTATCACTATTTTTTAAAAGTTAGGTGAGAAAACTAAAGCTGATTTTACTTGGGAAAAAAAAGGCAAAACAACACATATAGCCTGATCCTATTTGTGGAAAGAATAGAAAAATGCACTGAAGAAAATCTACAGGATAAAGAGACCCCGAACTAATAATGGTGGTCATTTTATCACACTTGTAACCAGTTTAAAAATGTCTTCTTTTAAGAGCTAAGCAGGATGTCCCTTGGTACTCCATTCTTCTGCCTGTTGCGGAAGCCCCGTTTCTTCATCCGCCTCAGAAAAGTGCAGGCTTAACATGCCCTCAGCCACTTATACTGTCAAGTCCACCCTCTGGCCTCCATCTTCCATTGGACTTTTTGTAGGAACTGGAATGGTGGACAGAGGACAGCTCACGTTTGAGGAGTGCGTTGCATGTAAGCCAGGCAGTAGGCTAGATTTTTAAATCTTGTTCCCACCTTATGGCACCTACATAAAACTACCATGACTAGTTTACAGATGAAGGCAGGCACCAAGAATAGGTAAAACACCATTTATACCCAAGTATAAGGCAGGCCTCAATTTGTCAGGGAGATTTTATTTTATTTTATAATTTATTATTTATTTTACTTATTTTTAGCTGTGTCAGGTCTTAGTTGCGGCACGTGGGATCTTTTCCTTGCGGCGCGCGGGCTTCCCTAGTTGTGGCACGCAAGCTCCAGGGTGTGTAGGCTCTGTAGTTGTGGCGCGTAGGTTCCAGAGCACGTGGGCTCTGTAGTTTACAGCACGCAGGCTCTAGCTGAGGCGTGCGAGCTCAGTAGTTGTGGTACGTGAGCTTAGTAGTTGTGGTGCGTGGGCTTAGTTGCCCCACAGCATGTGGGATCTTAGTTTCCTGACCAGGGATCGAACCCATGCCCCCTGCATTGGAAGCACACACTCTTAACCACTGGACCACCAGGGAAATCCAAGAGTTTTTGTTCTTTATGCCAACAAAATGCCCCTTGGTTAAGACTGAAATCGTTGGGAGGATGATAACTTCTAAATGTGGTATCCAGGTCAGAACAGGTAGCAAAATAAGCACCTGGTAACAACAGAAAAGTCATGCCTTGATTTGATTTTGTGCTAGTGAAATGTAGCCATTGTAGAAGTGATGTGGTCAACACCTACAGCACCCACCC